GGTGAAAGTGTAGTTCGAGGGGCCACCCTATCTAATCGAAGTGGACTAGCGGAACTCAATAATATCTAATCAAAGTGGCAATATCTAATCGAAGTGGAGTTGCGGAAGGGCGGTCATATCTAATCAACATTCAGAGCACAGGCTCTGAGTGCACGATTAGATATGGATACCAACCCGGGATTCCGTACAAAATCGGATACCTGAAAGGCCCTTTCGCCAAGGGCTTGCATGGCAATCGCAAGAAGGGTTGGTGAAAGTGAAGAGTCAGCAAGGTGACAGCCGTTTTCGCCATAGGACAAGGGTAAGTGTGACGAACTGGTCGTTTGCCGCTTACCATATGATAAGATATGAGTGCCTTCCCGCAACTATACTTTGATTAGATATGAGTGTCTTCCGCTACTCCACTTCGATTAGATAGGGTGGCCCCCCGAACTACACTTTCACCGGAGCGCCCGCTTGATTGCTGGATTATGCACTAACGGGACCCTCGTCACTTCGACTCAAAAACAAATCGTCACAAGACAAGGCGAATCACTCTGGATAAGTTGATAGAGCAAGTCGTGCGGCAGGTCACCGGTCACTGTGCACAGCTCCCGAAAGGTATGTTCAAGTCTAACACACTCTCGATATTGAAGTGTGCCAGTGCCTTTGCAAATGGTAATTAAATTACCGATTCATATTCAAAAAATTTCATTCGAGCGGAGGTGGTGTAGTGACAAGTGGGCCACTACCGCGCGTATGGTCCCTGGATCAATCCCAGCTCAAACCCAGCGTACGTCAGCCAAATTTCTGTAGATGGTTAGCTGTTGCTAGGAGCGATAATTACGACACAAACATCGGCAACTTGCTATCAAAAAAGTCGTAATCTAAGATTAAGCACTGCTTGGCTTTTCACTGTTTTCTTAAAGATCGCAGTATTTTTCTTTTTCTTCAATGGACGATACAACGGCGACAGAAATTACGCCAAGTATAGGGTGGCGCACTAGAACGACAAGTACGCTAACTACTACAACTCCGAATCCAATCACTACTGCTACCTCATCATCCACAACAACTACAGAGCCAACCACAACAACAACTGTATCAACTTCTACAACTACAGAGCCGACCAGTATAAGTTCAGCTCTCAGATATTTCACGCTTCCCTTCGTGTGATAGTCAGTACATATAGCTTTGCTTTCTGCGTTGACTGCGGAAAATCGGCCACTTCATGGAGTCACGAACATTTCCATACAAGTAAAGGATATTACTTTTACAGCTACCCCCCGCCGGCCTAATCCACAGCCTACCTCAACTAGCCTACCAGTGGCAAGCATTGAAAACGCAGGATGCACATGCGTTCCAAAAACTATTTGGCTTGATGTTTTCCTTCTCATGGATGCCAGTGTTTCAATGACGTCTATTGGGATTGTCTCGGTAAGCTGTGCTTGAAAGAAGATTTCTCGCTTAAAACGAAGGTCGAAAAAGGGGAAAATTGTCTAATAGAGAGAGAGAGAGCCGGACCCCTTGAGGATGTACGCAATTGGCAGCGAAAGATTTGACCTTAGGCGATCTAGCATGGCTCATCGCCGTTGGCGGCGGTACGCCCACCGACTATCTAATCACTCGCCGCAGGTCTATACGCGGCGAGTGATTAGATAGCAGAGAGAGCGTAGCGTTGAAGAGGGCACAGCGATGAGAGTCGCATCAATGCGGAAATCAACGGGCAAGGAAGGGTATTTTCGGGTTCTGGGCCGTTTCTCATGGTTCCTTCTTCATCCTTGCTCCACTGACCACCTCTACCAACTCAAGCCTTACCCGTCCTGTTCAACTTGGACAAATGCGCTTCAGGGTGACTGCTTAGAAGCTAGATAGGCGAAAAAGCTGCCATAATATCTTATGATGACCTCACTGCTTTACCTTACAATACCGAACTTTAGTTTCAAACGGTCTCTACCGGTTGTAGGGATATTAACACGTTGACGACAGGCTGACGCGCATGCGCGTCAGAAATTTGCACCGCATCGGACATTCTGACGCGCATGCGCGTCAGAACTATGTCATTCATTTTTATTGTGCTTGCGCTCCTTCTTCTCGAGTTTTTTGTATTCATTCTATAGATAATACATTAGCATAACTATAAACCACATGGCAGCCAGAGTGGTCAAATATCCCTTGATTTAGCAAAGATTTTCTGAACGCACAAAACTTTCATTTCAATTCTTTTCCTAGTATTCCTTTCACTGTCGTAAACATTCATATGAAAGATTGTAGAAGCAGTTAATACAAAACTCTGTGAGTTTCAAGATATTTGTATTTGATGGAAGAACTTAGGTATAAATGCTTTTAACTTCATTCGCAGCGAAAGTGATGTTTTTTGCTTCTTCGTGGTCATTATGCGTTCTTCTAAACAAAAATCTACTGCTATTTATATAGTTAACCTTTATGCTTTCATCCTTGCCGAAATAATTCTATGAGATTCAAGTTGTTGTGCATTTTAAACAAAAAATAAGCGGAAGTAAGGTGAGGACGGCGCGCTCGCAAAACCGCTC